CCCCAAAACCCCAAAACCCCAAAACCCCGGCTTAATCATAACTGATGGAAATTTTTAATATGAATATATTTTATTCTGACCTCTTATTTTTGATGTAATAATAAATTCCGAAAGCTGCCAAACCAATTCCTAAGAAGGCAGCAGCCATCTTAGATTTAGAGGCTTTGGGTCATCTTGTGAAGATTCCCTTGTGTTTATATCCCAGCTTGTCAGCAGCGACCTGAATCATATTTTCTGTCTGCAATATAAGTTTGTACTGTTTGGTAAAGTTAGATGTAGCTTTTCCTTCAATTTGCTTTGCCTTGTCAAGCAGGTTAAAAGCATCTTCAAATTCTTTCAAATGACTCTTTATAACTGCCATACTTATCAATATAGAAGAGCTTTCAGGATTGACTTCAGAGCCAAACTTGGCTTTATACATACCATAACAATCGAGGAATCCTTGGTAAGCTTCTTGATAATTCCCTAACTTAGTGTTTAATTGGGATACAGTTCTAATAGACTCAGCATGCTCGAGAGAGCCTTCACCGCAGACATTAGAAGCAATTCTTGCATAATCTGTAGAAATCTGTAAAACTTCTGCAGGATGTCTTGTCTTAGAAAATATGTTAATCTTGGTTTTCAATGCTTTGTAATAGGTCTGAGTGTTCTCCCCATCTTTCTTGGCATAGGCCAAGAAATTAGTAGAGAGTTCATCAGCTTTAGCTACATCTCCCTGAAAAAGTAGATTGGCGATGGTAGTATCATAAATTCCACCAACTACCTCATTCACAGAGGTCTGCGTTGGAAGGAATTTCAGTGCAGCTTGGACATACTTTAGAGGCTGGTCAGTCATATCGGCTACCATTATTTGTTCTAAATAGATAGACATCAGTTTTTCCTCCGTGATAACATTGAGATTTTGTTCATAAAGCTCAACTAGGGAGTCAAGCTCCTCCATTGCTTTTCCCATACCTTGGAGATCAGGAACAGCCATCATGGTCATATGAGCTGAAGAAGGTATCAACCAAAAATTTTGGGTTTACTTAAATAGCCATGGTAAAAACTAAAAAGATTTCTGCTCGATAAATTTAGGCTTATAAATGATGTCAAATAATAATTTATTCTAAGTATTGTTACTTCCTAAAGAGTGTTAAAATGCTTGCTCATTTATAGAGCATGGTATTTCAGTGAGAAAATGTTCTAAAACATAGATTAAGAAGTTTGAACTACCTTATCATGAAAAATCATATATCTCAACCCTCCCTTGGTTTAATTTTACCATTACAGCATAAGCCTGATATTTGATTATTATTTTGGATAAATAATAAGAAAGGAACGTTATCATCATTTCTCTATTCTTTACAAAGAAACTTTATAAAGCATGCAAGAAATTTTATGAATATAATGAAGTAAATTTCATCGAAAATAAGCGATCTAGCAACTTTGAGGAAAGGGAAGACACTGGCCTCCTCTTTGAAAATAGAATAATACCAATGTTGACTAAAGCCCTCAACCACATTTCCTTGACTCTAGTCTTGAAACTAGATATTTTTAGAAATAAAGTTAAGAAGGATATTGCAAAGATCCTGGAATAATTAATTAAAACTTGATAAAAATAATATCTCCCTAAAATATCTCTTTGAAATTTTAATAATTTGGCATCTATGTGAACTACCTAGAGTAACTTCGCAGCATAAAATCATCATTTGACTATCCTAAGGTGTCTTTGTATAAAGAATAATGTGTAAAAATAAGAGCCTTGGTCTCCTCTATTATCTGTTTCCTTACATTAAACCTCTTCGATTCAGGTCTCACCGGAAGGCAAGTAATATATGGCAAAAACTTACTATAATATTTGTGTAGTCAAGGTTGATCCTAAACTCGTGCAATTTATCAATCTCGAATTCATCTCAGTACTCAAGAGCAGTCTCGATATATGGCTTCATGGTAGGGTCGCTGATAGACTCAAGTGATGATACAAAGCATATGTAAGACAGCTTGTCATCTTTGATCAGATCAGCATAGTTCTTAGCAATCTGGTAATCAATTTGGACTCCCATCAACTCCTGAATATTTACCAGAAGCCCAAAGCCGTCCATCATGCTGTAGTTCATTTCATAGGTAGATCCGCTGACCAGCTCTTCAAATTCTTTTCTGAACCCAAAGATCTTACCCTGGTCAATAGACTCAGGATCAAGAGAAAACATATGCATGCTAGTCATAATTTTGAAGAAGAGCTGGAGGCTCTTCGTAAACCTATGATGTTTTGCAAACTTATCAATGGCATCTGCCAGCCTGATGACTTCTTCTTTGTCTTTTCGTTGCACTCCATCCATGATATCTATCATCAATAGCCAAAGGAAGCTGTCGGCAAGCTCTGGCTCAGGATGAGTTTTAAGCTCTTCTTTGATCATTGGAAGTATACGTCTTACTTGCTTGCCTAACTTTTCATCAGGTTTTGAAATCATTTTATAGTTTCCATTGATGAAATCTTTCATTAGATGGAGAAATCTTGTAGACTGACAAGTATCCAGAAGTTTATCGCTAATAGACATCCACTTCTCAAGATCTGACAATAAATAGTAACTTGCAAACAGCATATCCTTCTTGAATTCCAAAAATGTAACGACTTCTTGAGGGAAGGCTCTGCTATTGATATCTTCGAAGATGTCTCTAATGTACTCTTCAGGAGTTTTGTAAGTAAGAGTTGCATATTTATAATCAACTGATAAATAAGCAGAGTAATACTTGAAGGCAACATAATCGTTTGCCTTATTAGTTTCAAACAACTCTTTGAATATTTCCATCAATAATCTGCATCTTGTGTATCCTCCATTGTATCAGAAGATATCAAACAAGTTGAACATGAATTCAGCCTTATACTTCAAAGGAATTTCCTCATCTCCATTTCTTACCCCAATAATCTCCTGATACAAATCCTCAAACTCTTCAATATTCTGCCTATCCTCTTTAACATTAAACAACACCAGTTTAAGTCTCATCTCCTCCAACCTCCCTCTCCCTCTAACCTCCTCTACCATTATCTCCACCTCGCTCACAGCCATCCTTTGCACCTTCTCCCTGACCCTCAAATAATCAGTTTCATCAATCTTCATAATCTCCACTCTGGATGGTTCTAAATTCATTATATTATACTTCCCCAGGGGTTTTGGGGTTTTGGGGTTTTGGGG